TGTATGTATGTATGTATGTATGTATGTATGTATGTATGTATGTATGTATGTATGTATGTATGTATGTATGTATGTATGTATGTATGTATGTATGTATGTATGTATGTATGTATGTATGTATGTATGTATGTATGTATGTATGTATGTATGTATGTATGTATGTATGTATGTATGTATGTATGTATGTATGTATGTATGTATGTATGTATGTATGTATGTATGTATGTATGTATGTATGTATGTATGTATGTATGTATGTATGTATGTATGTATGTATGTATGTATGTATGTATGTATGTATGTATGTATGTATGTATGTATGTATGTATGTATGTATGTATGTATGTATGTATGTATGTATGTATGTATGTATGTATGTATGTATGTATGTATGTATGTATGTATGTATGTATGTATGTATGTATGTATGTATGTATGTATGTATGTATGTATGTATGTATGTATGTATGTATGTATGTATGTATGTATGTATGTATGTATGTATGTATGTATGTATGTATGTATATATATATATATATATATATATATATTATGTAGTAACTTACCGTTTAAAGATATCGATGATGGGTAGTGGTTGGCACTGAAATGAAGGACATGCGTTTCGTCCTGTCGTCTAGTGAGTGATGTTCTTCCCGTTAAAATTTGAAACTAGGGCCGACTACTTCAAACATCAGAGTGTTATCCATCGATAATATCAAAAGTGAAGAGGGATTCACACATGAGCTCATATATGAATAGTAGCCCATCGATTCAATCCAACTAACGACGGAAAATTACTAGCTATGACATCAAGAATATCATGTGATACCTATCACACAAGGAATGACTATCATGGCTCACTGGCCTAGTGGATAACGCTCTGGTGTCCGAGTTTTAGTCAGAATAACATCACTCACTGAGAAGCGGGCACATCCAACTGACGAGCCTCAGATAAAAAGAAACGTCCGTCTTGGTTTCTACTGCTAGCCACTATCTGTGATTATTATCATAATGATGGGTCAATTTATGTAACACATGTACAAGCCAACTTAGTCCATTGTAGTTCACAAACTCACTAAACTGACTCGTCTCACTTGCCTAGTACTCTATATCTAACCTAGAAATTGTTAATCTTTTAGCTCTGTGATATGCGAACAATGTGAAATAGGTATCTATAGTCAAAAATATGTGACTGCTTCATATCTCCGACCTTCAGTGATCATATCGCATAACCATAAGAGTGAGCCCGGAGAATTTCTGTGTGGTATATGCCTCATTTGAGTGATATTCCAACATAACTCAAGTTTTCTAGTATCAAAGACCTTGAAAATATCAACGATAAATTTTCATTAGTAGCCAACCCAGCAGAACTGACGTCATATTCAAAATAAAGGAAGTGGTCAATGTTATTGCACTACTTGATTCCCTATAATCCCCAAATAAGAGTCAGCACAGATTTTTTTCTGTGGCGACATCTTCCATCGGTAAAGTTCAGAACGCGCGTCAATCATAAAAACATTTTCTCCTGAAGTATTTTGGATACCTATATCAAGAATAGAGCGAAGACAGCAAATAAACGTTTATCAGAGTAAATTTAAACGCTTGATATTGTCCTAATAAGTGAAATTTTTAGATTGATTGTTATCAATCAACCCTTTTTTAAGAACTTTAAATAGAATATACAATTGTGGAGTAATAATAGGTCCTGGAACACTGATGGACTCGATAAGATCTTATCTAACAACAAAAGTACTTCATAGTTACACCTGAATCACGTTCAAAGTGAGGTGGACGGTTTTCTCTAGTTTTCATGTTCAGATTCATATTTTAGCTATTCTTCTCTCAGTTGTTTTTAAGTAATCAACAGGCATCGACAGGATTTTATCATCAAACGTATTGTCTTTTACAAGATGTTTTCCACTTCAGGAGATAGATAAGTCGCTGTGTCGATACTGTCTAAGTAAAGATGATCCATATGAATGAAAGAAGTATTCAATAAAGCAATGAAATCTGTGAATTATGTTTCGGTTATTGAAACAGACCATATATTTTTCTAAAACAGAATTCCGATGTTTGTCTTCCAAGGGAGAAAAAGCCAATTCATGAAGCTGGAGGAATGATTGTCTTGACAGATTTTCCACTGGAGAGTAATCGTTTTAATGCTTCCAAGTCCTAAGTGCTGTCCGAACTCTATTGACCATTCCGGAATGTGACCATCAAGCTAGTAGATTCATCATTTTGGACGGAAGTAGTTGACAGGAAGCTCTGAATTTAAGTTTTGTGTTTGTCGGCACGCGTCAACAAGGCTCATCTGCAACCTCAAGGGTTCCGATGTACCCTGTGAGATTATTTTCTAATTTCAACGTAGTATCCACCGCGAATTGACATCATCTGTAGAATCTTTGGAAACTTGGGAGCACTGGCCACCTGTTTCGTCCTAGTTACGAGACTGCTCATCAATACGAACCCACGGCCCTGCTAGGGGGCGGACTCAAGACCTTCAAGTTTTACGGCGAGTTGGTTAACCATTCAGCCGGTGGGTTGGAGTTCAATGCTCTACAGTTTCCAAGTTTTGCCAGTTTACGATATCGCGTAACTATTATCCAACATCTTCAATTGACATCCGCTTCCCTTCCAACTGGCTTACCCCACAGGTCGTGACTTATTTCAACTTTGGGATATTCATCTGGAAGCATGCCACTAATGAGTACTATACAGTAATATATTTTAAGGCGACCAAGGATTTTAATTTTGAGGTAGTACTCATCACGGACTGACATCATTTGGAGAACTGTGGAAATCCTGGGAGTACTGAACAGCTGTTTCATCATAGTACGGGACTCCTTAGTGGCACATCACTTCGTGATGAATACTACCTTGTAATTCATCAATCATCAGCAATAATCAGCTAAATTATTTTAGAGTAGTAAAACAAGTCAGTGCACATCATCTCATGACCTTCACTTTTAAAAGTAGTGTGCTGCCAATTATCTAGGTTTATATAAACAACGGCATTATTGGAAAACGTTATCTTATTAATTCTACTCTATTGCACAGTAGTTTATCTGTATTCTCTAAATAAAAGGAAGTATTAAAAGCTTTTATAGAGTTACTCTGTATGAAATATAGCATCTTATTCGCTGCTTTCTGTACTCAAGAATTTTTTGCATCAGCTAGACATTATTATTATTATGGTTTCAAGTTGGTATTCATCAAGGACTGACAACAGTTGGAGGAACATTGGAAACCTGGCAGCAAATGGACAGCTACTTCCTCCTCCTCCTCCAACTAACATCTAGTTTGGAACTCCTCACCAGTGTGCACCCATCACATCACCTCTCCCCAGGGGTCGAACCCATGACCTCAGGTTCCGTGGCTGGCAAGTTACCGTTGAGCCAATGGGTCGGAGTCCAATGCCCCGTATTTCCTACTTCTGTCAGTTCATGATATAGCACGACCTCCATTCAGTGTCGTCGTTGAGTAACTGTCCTCACGTTCGACTTGGTTGACTCCATCAGTCACGACTTCTTATTGGAACCTGGGGAATCACCTCTCGAAGCTAGTCACGCAAGAGCACCTGGTGGGAATATGGACCATCGGATTCCGACTCACTGGCTGGCTCAGTGGTAACGTGCTGGCCACGGGACCTGAAGGTTCTGGGTTCGATCCATGGTGGGGTGGGGTCGTGAGTGCCCACTGATGAGGAGTTCCAAACTAGATGTTAGTTGGTTGGAGGTAATCGGCAGGAAGCCCTGGACCTAGGTTTCGTGTTTTTTGGCACTCGTCAGCAAGGCGTATCTGCAACCTCGACTGAACTGATGTCCCACCCGAGACTCGAACCTGCGTCACCCAGTGTTTTAGTCAGCGTCTTTACCACTGAGCTATTCAGGCCGCGATTGACCTCCTGTAGGACTGGCTTACATGTATTGATTGGTCATCGGAGTGCAACCAATTTCATGTTGCCTCCACGTTTCCAATGTTTCTCCAACTGATGTCAGTCCATGATGAATACCAACCTGATGTCAAAAAATCCCCACAAATCTCAAACTGAATTCTTGTAATTGTATTAAATCCATTGAATGAAGTGTGTCAGTTATTCAAAAGTTCATTTTATGCTCACTTTTTACATCAAGGTAAAGGATCTATGATTTTTCGTGCCAACTCAACAGGATCGAAAGCAATGGAGTGTTATATAAAACTGGTGGGAACTGATGTGAGTCATTAAGACGTAAAACAAATTTTTATTCTTATCACGTTTTCTAACTTATCAGGTGCATATATTCATTGAATTCTTATTGAAGCATTCAAAAACGCTCTGAGAAGAAAATTTTTTTCCCAATAAATCATTCCCAGCACCTGTACAGTCGCATTCATAGCAATAACAAAAAAAACATCAATCTGTTATTGGATAATGCGTCAACAATAAGTCATCAAGATAGAATATTCCAAGATGAAATAGTGGGTGGAGTGTGTAGAGTTGGAAAAAGCTTGAGTAGTCATCATGTGTATAAGGATAACAGGTATTAGATGGATGTGATGACCAAGAGGTTGAAGAAATAACAATAATAATTATTATTTTTCCCTTGGATTCCTAGTGGGACATAAGGATTCAGTAGCACTCCTCCATTGCACTCCCTTCTCTGCAGTCTTTTCAACCTTGCGCTACTACTGACCACAAGCTTTCATTTCTTCCTTACATCATTTCCTCCATGTCACCCTCACCTTGGACGCCCAACTCGTCGTTTCCCCTTTGCATTCCACTTGATGCCCTGGCCTGGCACGTGATGTCCCCAATCAGTGTATGTCCAGTCCACTCCATCACCACTTCCTTCTGCATATTTGTTGCATGATAGGTTCATGGTTGGTTCGTTCCCAGATTTCCTTGTTGCTTATTCTTTCTGGCCATCTGATGTTCGGTATCGGGTGAGCGTAGACGGCAGCTGTGGATGAATGCCTATAGTTTGTTGGAAGTGGTTTTCTTGACGCACCAACTTTCTGAAGCATATAGCAGTAGTGATCTGACATTAGTGTTGATAATCCACATCTTGTTCTTCGTGCTGAGTGCAGTTGAAGAAATAATAAACAGGTCAAAATTAATGATACTAATTATCATCAATAATCGGAGTAGAGAATGATGAAAATTTGAATGAAAGATAGGAGCCAACATATTCAGATATCAGAAAGTAAACCGTAAAGCAAAAATAAAAAGTAATGATGATCAGTCATTAAGATTAAGACGAATACTGAAGCAGTAAAGAAACTCAAGAAAGGATTATGGCCATGGTAAAATAAGAGGATGAACGTGCCTCTTCTGTACTCAGATGTCCGACTTTAATCGTTAGATTGCCAACGTTTTTGCTATGCACAAGAGATGAATCCGTAATCCCTTCGAGCCGTTTGGCTTAACTTTGTACATGATTTTGAAAGAGGACTTTATGGAAACGATATAACCAAGTATTGGTCAAGTGGTTCAAGATGGAACTATTGCTTTACTTGCATTCTTCTCTGAATAGTGAAACAAGATAATGCTTGGAGATGCATTTAGAAAGACTGCTTTTCTCAGTCTATAATACGAGATCTACAGGACCACGTAAACTGATAGACACACATGAATATGCTTCAAAGAGGTAGTTGGTTCTTCACACTTCTTTGAACCAACTGTTGACTGGACAAGGCCATTCGCATTTTAGCAAAATAGAATGTTTTCTGAAAACTCTGACTCGTCACTTATATATACCAGCCTGAACTCTGCTTACGGAAGACGTACGTCCATTCTCTTATTTTACCGTGGTCATAATCCTTTTCTGAGTTTCTTTATTGCTTCAATGTACATCTTACTCTTACTGACTGATTATCACTACTTTCTATCTTTACGATTTACTTTCTGACATCTAAACATGTTGGCTCCAATCTTCGGTTGACGTTTACTACCCGTCACACTTCTCTCGCCCGAATCTAACTAAGGCGGAAAAAAGAAATAGGGAATAAAAAATGACTGGCTGTTCAAAAGGTAATGTGTAGCCAAGATGCATTCCTATTGGACTAGAACAATTATTTGTAGGAATTTGATTAGCTGAGCCCAGATAAACTATCTGCATTTAGATTGGCTTAGAAAATTATCTTCACTTGTCACACTAAATCTCTTTTAACAAAGGAATCACCATCAGGTTAAGATTAAATCCAGAACTAATGAAAGACTTGTAGAGAATTTTATTCTGTTGCTATACAGGGCTGAATTGCTCGACCTCTGTTGGTAGATGGGCCCTTATGCGGATGCCTTGATACCGCTGCTTATTCATGATGTTACGTTGATCTTGGTGACTAGTAGAGGAATCCAGAACTAGCGTTTTGGCCTATTTGTGACTCAGCTTAGTGGATAACACTCTGGCGTTTGGAGCTAAGGGTACTGGGTTCGGTCCACAATGAGAACATCACTCACCGAAGTGCAGGTACAACCAGCTGACGAGTCCCAAGTAAGACAAAACGCACTTCCTGGATGTATTGAGTGTAATTTATAACTGTAAATGAAAACAAACGGAACTGACCTTCTTGTCACTACACCTTCTATTGACCGGCGTCCACTAACCTTAAAATAAACAAACTTGACCTTGCAAATATGAATCTCGCACTACGTAGTGCTTGTACATGTGCTTCTCATACTCCTTTAGGGAGTCCTTCAGAAACTCTAAAGACGGAAACGCGGCGTGGCAAAAAACTTCCATAAAGATTGATTCATTTTCGGTTACTACACTATGGATAGTGTCGTCGCTCATCATGGAAATAAAGCAACCCTTTCCCAGTTTACTATGTTTTACCATACCTTTCGATTTCGTGTAACCAGTCACTTGGGATGTCTCCTCATCCATTTTGATTCAACCATAGGTGACACGGAGTGAGCCGGGATATGCAGAAAATAACGCTTACAAAATATTACTAACCATGGACCAAATGTTGGCTCTGGTCTTTCATTAAAATTCTCACCATTCTCTACTCCGATTATTGATTATAATTGGTATCATTATTTTTAACCTGTTTATTTATTTCTTCAACCTCTTGGTCATCACATCCATCTACTACCTGTTATCCTTATACACATGATGACTACTCAAGCTTTTTCCAACTCTACACACTCCACCCACTATTTCATCTTAGAATATTCCATCTTGATGACTTATCGTTAACGTATTTATTATCCAATAACAGATTGATGTTTTTTTTGTTATTGCTATGAATGCGACTGTACAGGTGTTGGAAATGATTCATTGGAAGGAAACTATTCTTCACTGAGCTACTTTGTGTCATTGAATTCTAGTAAATAATCACCTCCCTATGTCCCACTTTTAAGGGACTCGACGGAAAATGTAATCATTCAAATACTGTCTTGTTCATATATTTTCTCTGCAGGTATATCGATTCAATGAGGCACCTTGCAGTCTAGGCAGAATTAGGAGCTGTTGTTCTCTTCTACACTTGATAGAGATATGCTATTCTTTACGTCTATCATTCGATTTCGTACTAAACTGGTATAATCTATCAACGGGAGAAGCTTAAAGGAAGTAGTCTCTTTCACCTACACCTAACTGGGCAAGGCAGCACCGTTTCAACTACAGGTGGCACAGGCACAGACGACGATGTCAAAATCAGAATGGGAAAAGCAAGACAGGCGTTCATTAGCCTGAAACCAGTGTCGAGATCTCCTCCACTCCACTCACCATAAAGCCTGAACAACATCCGGATTTTCAACACCAATTCAGTCAAGTAAGTCAGTGCTTCAATGTGATGGTTGAAAGACTTGGCGCGTCAGAAAAAGCATTTCCAACAACCTACAGACATTCATCAACAACTGACTACGCTCGCTCGTTACTGAAGCTCAGATGGTCAGAATAATAAGAATAAGCAACAAGGAACTCTGGCTGGCTAGCAACGAACCAAAGAAGAAAGAAGCTATCGCTGAACAAATATGCAGTGGAAGGAAGTGGAGATGGATTGGAATGGAATGGGGTGGGTTGGGTTGGGCATGCACTGAGAAGACCGAATGGGGACATCACGTGCCAGGCCAGGCACTTGAATGGAATCGAGATGGGAAGCGACGAGTTGGGTGTCTGAGGTGAGGGTGACATGGAGGAGATGGTGTGAGGAGGAGGTGAGAGGTTGTGGGGTGTCGTAGAGCCAGGTTGAAAAGATTGTGGAGAAGAGAAGAGAGTGTAATGGAGACGTGCTAGTGAAGGTGTATGTTTTATTAGGAACCCAAGGGACAAATAAATAATAATAATAATAATCCCAATACTCGATCCATTAGCAACAATACGGTCACATATGTAACGTATTGTCTCATTCAATGGAACGCTTGTAAATAATGAGACCACATCTAAAGAGAACATAATTTTTGTTAGCCACTACCCATCATTACCATACATCATTAAAAACACAGGCAATATCAAGGGATCCGCATAGGAGCCCATATGCAAACAGAGACTGATCAATTCGGTCCAGTCAACGACGGTGTAATGCAAGCAGCAACACTAAAACTATACTCATCTCACAGGCACTGGTTGCCATGGCTTAGTGGTGTAATGGATAACGATCTGGTGTTTGAAGCTATCGCTTCCGAGTCAGAATCCCGGTAGCGACAACATCACTCACTGGGAGGCAGATACATCCAGCTGACGAGTCCCAAGTAAGATGAAATGAGCGTCTCGGATTCCATTGTTAGCCACTACCTGTCATTACTATACATAACTTACATTATCAATAAAATTGACAAAATCAAAAGAGTCACAAATTGTATGAAGTAAGACTTGCCTTCTTCTAGGCTCCAAGATTTTGACTAACCACTGGGCAATGCGATGATAAGGTGATCCTGTTATATTCAGAATAGATCATAAAGGTGTGCACTTTTGTCAGTCTGTACAGTCAGGGGATATTTAACCCATATAGTCGTAAGGATTCGAATAATTTGGAATTCATAAAAGAACCGGTTATTTATTCTCCATGGATGTCGGTTAAGCGTTTTTCAGTTTAATCCGCCTTATTTTTCTTGCTGATGGGTTTTATAAACTTTGTTTCATCAGACAGGATAGATAACATTTTATCTATGCATTCTTAGCAATTCATCAATAAAACACCTATCCCCTTGTCAGGATGTACCATTGTAATCTCCTTCTTTTTCCTCATTTCTTTCACCTCTTTCCAGTGTTTCTTAATTAATATGGA